GTTATTATCATGTCTTTAGTCCCGTCTTCCTTCTCTCACCCCAACCAATCACAGCAGATGGCCCCGCCCCTCCCTGAGCCTGGTTCTGCTGGAGGTTTCTTCCTGTTAAAAGGGAGTTTTTCCTTCCCACTGTCACCAAAGTGTTTGCTCGTACTATGTATTATTGGAAGGTTGACCTTAGAATACAAAGTGCCTTGAAATGCGCTGTATGAATACAATCGAAGAGAATTATCACGTAAAATTGACTCTGAGAACAAAATATTTCAGCATGTGAATCTGTGGGGATTTACCTACTTTTGCAGCTAGGAACTGCACCTTTGGTGTTTCCACTTTTGCCTCGCAGGTTTCTACTTTTATGTTTTTTGTTAAGTTTTTTTATGATACTGACTAAACAATGTGATCATTCATAATGTGCAGTTTATCAAAAACACAGAAGATGGCTTCAAACGAGACAAATCCTCACTGCTTCTTTAAAACCGTGTTGTGACAAAACAAACAGCAATCGGGACAGTACAAGGGAAACCAGACAAGTGTTTAAGAAAAACACAGCCAAATGAAAACAGAACTCGCTGGACATTTGAGGCATGTGAAGATAAAAAGCCCACACTTGGCCGTTATGTCTCAAACAAAGAAAGTCAGTTGAGAAAGTGAAATGGGAACAGCAAGACAAAGAAGGAGAAGTGTAAAAAGATGCTTTGTGGAGTGTCTTGAACTGAGTTGCATCACCTTTCAGTTCTGAAAGAGAAAGTAGAGAGCTGCCAAGTTTTTTTCTCTTTCTCTGCTTCAGTTTTCTTTTTTTAAACTGAGGTAATTTCAGAAACAAATGCTGTGTTAACACCATATGTCAAGGAAAAAAAGAGAAAGTCTTCCAAAACCCCAGAAGATACTTCATGTATGACATATAGAAATGGATTACTTAAACGTCTGTTTCACTTTATAATCCAGGTGTTTTGTTTGTAGTGTATCTACTTTCAAATTTCTACACACTTAAATGACTTGTGAAAATTCCTTTTGAACTTTCATCACATGTGACGTTTTGTATGTGCCTCTCATCATGGTTATACTTCAGTTGCTGAACTTTTGCTCGTGCTGTAAAGATAAAGAAGTAAAATAACACTTCAGCGCGCCACCTATATTTAGCATTTATGGATTTATAGCAGACTGTAAAAGAGTTCCAGCCAAGTGTAAATATTGTAGGATGATGTAATAGAAAATGAACTGATAATGTGCTAAAAATATATCACATTTCTTCATAGGGAACATTGCTGTTGTGGACAATGAGTTCTCTGCATGGCAACATTTTTGCTGCAAGGTGCTCAAAATGCCAATTAAACCTTTTTAATTGGCATTTTTAAGTAGCAATTATGTACTTTCTGTATCCAACAACCAGAACAGATGTAGTCAGCTAGCATCAGCTGGGCGAGAATGGTTCAGTGTTTACATCCTGTCACACAACAACAAGCCTCTTATCGTGTGTAGACAGACCGTGTCCTCTACACACTCGTGGCTTTTGTGCATGTTTTTTGGTACAGCAAGAATAACATGCAACTTCTGTGGCACAAAAATGACTCCAAAAGAGGATGTCCGCAAAACTGTAGTTTCTCTAATGGCTACTAGAGACTCCCAGGTAGTTTAGTAAGCAAGCGGTTTAGTTTAAACTCGGATGTTAGCACACTGCCCTCTGGGCAAATAATGGCCACTTATGGCTTGAAAAAAACCTACATGGCAAAAACGAGATCTTGTGGTAGTTGTGGCCATCTTTTATATACAGTCTATGGGTAAAAAGAATACAACAACATGAATGTACTTTTTTTGAGTGAAAGGCTCCCTGTTTCTCAAAAGAGCTTTGAGCAAAATAACACTTCTGTGAAATACACGGTAAAGGCAAGCTAGACGTGAGCAACAAAAACACTCTAGTTACTAGAACTGCACTACATGCCAGAGAAAAATGTGTAGATTTGATTTGGAGATAAGCTATTATGTCAGTGTACTGTGAAGACTTTACTAATAATTTATACGAGTCACGGTGGGGTGGGGGTTGTTTATTTATAATGTCCCTTTTCTGACCTCAAAATGTTGGTGAGCTGTACGAGTTAACCTCAGACACAGTGTGGTGCAACTGTGTGTCTGTCTCTCATCGTGTGTGTGCCTGAATATCTGTGTATATAATTTTTTTAGAAAACCAAAAGTCGCCATCAACCACTTTCCCATCCTGAAACCATAACTCCTGCGGTGACACTCCGCTAAATGTTCTGTAACTTTTCCTTCCCTCTCACTCTCCTTTCTCCATGACCCCGGTTGCGCTGCTGCCACCGCTGTTGCTGCTGCGCTGTCTCCACTTACACGGTGACATCACTGGAGTTTCCCCTGCAGCTGCATAAATACTACAGACTCTCCAGCAGAAGTTCACTCTTAACACAAACAGCACACTCAAAGAGAGAAGTGTCAGCACAGAAGACACAGACAACTGTTCGGTTTCTGGATTTCTTTAAAGATCAGACGGCAGAGGCTTTGTGCACAGCATGGTTGCATACACAACCACACCAGTTGATGTCGAGGCCGGTCCTGAGGCGAAGACTGTAGTTTTAGTTGAGAAGAAATCACCTGCAGAGTGGATATGGAAGGTGTGCGCCGTCCTCGTCGTCGTGGCTCTTTGTTTAGCAGGTGTCCTGCTGTTTGCCTGGTACTGGAATACGAGGCCAGAACGGATGGTAAGGAGCATCTCATCTTTTCGAGTATGATGAAAAGTCTTTCAAAACCTTCTGTGTGTGTGTCTATATATGTATCTAAGGATTCTTTTTTCCTCCATGCAGACACAAGTAGGACAGCCAGAAGCACTAAAGGCGAAGAACACTGGCGAAAAACCAGGTGATTATATACATGGGTGCTTATGAGAGGTTTTGAAAGCTACATTTGAGTCTTTGTGGATTATTTGAGACAAGCTCACATTTTTCTTCCTTCCTTCAGAGCCCCACTCCACGATAAAATGGATCAGCAGCAAAGCCAAGGCAGCCATCCACCTAGAAGGTGAGTCACCGCTTACCTTGATTTGGTCCTCAGCAAACAATAGGCTCATAATCTCAGCCTTCAAAGGAGCTTTTCTGAGTTTTTCTTCTCCCTCTGTGGTATTGGTAGCTCTCTTCTTTTTGGAAACCAAGAGCACAATAAGGAAGTCCCATAAGTCATTCATTAGCTTCAGTCAATACTTCATTCTGCTCTCCAAATAACAAACCTGTCAGTAATTCACACTCCGGTATTTCAAGGCTGTAACGTTTCTGATCTTTACTTGCAGGCAGCGACTCAAAAGGTCATCTGGAGTGGAGGAATGGTCAAGGCCAGGCGTTCGCTCAGGGCGGCTTCAAGTTGGAGGCCAACAAAATCATCATCCCACACACCGGCCTGTACTTTGTCTACAGCCAGGCATCCTTCAGGGTGATCTGTGGGAATAGCGACGACAATGAAGATGAGGAAAAAAGCCTCACAATTCTCAGCCACAGGATCTGGCGCTACTCAGAGTCTGTGGGAAGCCCCTCCACTCTGATGAGCGCCCTGAGGTCGGCATGCCAAGACACCATTCAGGATAGCTTCTCAGACCACGGCTGGTACAACGCCATTTACCTGGGCGCTGTGTTTCAGCTGAACGAAGGAGACACGCTGTGGACAGAAACCAACCAGCTATCAGAGCTGGAGACTGACGAAGGAAGGACCTTCTTTGGTGTGTTTGCACTTTGAAACGACTCTCCGCTTTGAGCAGAAAAGCTGCATGGAGCTTAAAAACTATGTGAACATATAGTTTTTTATTTCATCCACATGGTGATGTTTAAATATTGAAATCTCAATGGAGATGAAATTCCCAGCTGAAAACGTTAGGCTGGTTTTTTAAAACTATATAAACTGTAGCAGTTTGCAACATTGTTTCTACTTTAGGCACTTTTGACATATTATTTATACTGACCTGAGATTGTATGAGGCTAGATTTCCTCTGCTGTATCAGATGATGACAAGGCTCTTTGGCTCAAGAGTTCAGATACAGAGGTGCTGTCATAGCTTGTATGTATTTATTTGTATTTATTTGTATTTAAATCACTGGGACCGGGGCTTTAAAGGTATTTATATAAGTTTATATAAGTTGTGAAAAGAATAAAAATGCAGAAAACTACAGAGAATGGTCTCCTCTAATAGTTAGAAGTCTGTCCAGCCGGCGCTGCAGCCCACACACACACACACACACACGCACACACACACACACAGTAGTTGGCAAAAGCTGCTATGAAATTCCTCCACAGCCAGCAAATACTTCCTTTGTTGGATCACACAAGTGGAGGGGAATTTCCTGCTTTTTTCTGCCTCTTGCCGAGTGCTGTGTCAGGTGGAGGCCCACAGAAGCCTCAGCTCAGAGTGGGTTTTCCCCAATGGCAGCCACCCACCCCCACACACAGCCTCTCTCGTTCTCGACACCAACCCTTTCCCTGTGCATTACCACATACCTTGCTTTCAGTCAGCTGAAAAAAGACGGAACGGGAAGCTGTGCGAGATGAGGGATCATGGGACTGTGGCACAGCTGGGTTTGTCAGACTGTCATCATCTATAAACACACATCATACAAATAACGGACGCACTTGGGAGCAATTTGTCTACTTTTGTTTCATATGCAAGGCAAACATCCACTCATTGTCTCAGTAATGAGGTTCCCACTGGGCTTTACAGTTGGTCATCGTGTCAAATTTTGCTTCTAGCTTTTGTTTAATGAGCTTTTCTTCTGGGTTTATTTGGTTTTTTAGTCCTGCAGAGCTGACCTACAGACAAATATCAAGTTTCACTTGGACATAGATGAATTGGTCAAAACAGCCCGAGCAAATCAGAAAAACAACAAATAACTGGTGACATCTAGTGGATAGTGCAAACATGAGCAAACATGTGCTGTGCCTTTGGAATATGCACAACAATCCATATGATATGTCCACATATTTTAAAACGTATCAATTAAAACACGAGAAATACCCAGTGAAAAAACAAATATTTTATTTATGGTACCCATATATCTGCATACACATACTCTGAAATATATTAACATTTAATATCTTAGATATAGTGAATACAAATATCCCCAAATCCATGTATATTCTTATATATGTGCAAGATAATAGAACATTTCTGAAGTAATTTCTGCATTCATATACTACACTATCAAGTGATCAAGGTACTGCACAGTTAATAAATATGGCCTATTTCATTCATTTAAGTTGACTTTGACGGTCCTCCCCCAAACCCTGAGCTAAACCGAGTAACAGCGACACAGAGTGGAATCGTTTGTTCGGTTTAAAGTGCACACTGTGATTTACAGATATTTAAAAATATTTGACAAAGTGTTGTGTTACCTGCTAACAGCGTCATTCAGGCGTCATTGCTTTATAAAATCTGGAAATAGCTCATGAATGAAATAGTACATCCGCATTAACTGCCGAATAAATACACTATGTCACATTACTTTAAGTCCTTCATGGATGCTTTCACCACTTAGCTGAAGGCAAAAGATGAAGAAAATAAATTAGCTTCATTCCCAATCGTCTGTGGGAAAAAGGAAAAAATTCATGTACGTATATATACGACACAAAAAACGAAGTTTACAAGTATGACGGGTAACAGATTTACAGGTATAAAAAAATTGTGCTTTCTCTGCATATCTACAGTAATAGCCATCACAGAAGCCCTCAACGTTTCACTGCTGTCCAAACATAAAGTGGTTTAGATTTACAAAAGGCAGAAAGTACAGACTGTGCTTCTGTTAAGTATGTTGGAATTTGGATGGCTCCAGTTTTGTAGACTGTATATGAATGTGTTTGACGGATAACTGTACCCCGTGAAATTAGGCAGCCAGAATAGACAGCTGGGCCTTGGTCATCATGGTAAGTGATGGTGATTACTCATATCAAATGTTTCCAGGACTCCACAGATAAAAATCAAACTGTCTGATATCCCATTCAATGCAGTCTCCTTGTGCACATCTGGAACACTTCCATTCTCTGTCCAAGGACCATTCAACCTCATATATGCGCTTCCATGTATCAGAACACTAATGCTTCACCATTTATTTTGGGGCTGACGATGGATTTCCAAGGAGCTAAATCTGGCTGAGTGACAAATTTACAGTGTTTAACCCTTGAAATGCCAAGAAAAACAGCTGACCCTCAGGAGGCGATGTCACGGTCTTTAATCCTTTATGTGCTTAAACGATGACAGAACGAAAGATTTACTGCGTTTAACCTTTTAAACGTTCGGAAAATTTCACTCCTCATGAACATCCTGGTTGCACTCCTGACCTCCTGGACTGCCAGAACTGCACACGGAGTGTATTTCCACTGATAACTGGTGTTTGGCCCCACTGAAGCTAAGGGCTCCAAATGGTGATTTGAAAGTAGGGTCAGCATCAGTGCTGGATAAGATCCAGAAGTGCACAAGAGGACGACCCTGAAGGACAATATCTGCAAGATACGTTAGATGCAGGCTTGATGTGACTTGACTTGATGTCTCCTACTGTACTGTACTGCTAAATAAACACAAACTTCAAAAAATACATTGTAAAATATGATTTCAAACCCCAAAGCTATCAAAACTGTCCTCATTCATCAGTAACTTTGATCATTGTCTTCTTCAACATGGGTCTAATAAGGAACTAGCTTATTAAAATGCAGTTTTGTACTTGAACACACAGTCCTGACAACAGACATCCATGCATGCTTAGCTCCCTGGCCGTTTTAAATTATGGCTGTTTAATAATGCACATTTTTCGCTTCTGAGCTTCTCGGCTGCTTTTAGAGGAAACACTAGAGGGGGAAAAAAAGTCAAAACTGTACATTGCTTTGTCCCTTTGCAAATTTCAGTTTTCACAACTCTCCTGAAAGCTTAACAGAGAATAGAACAACAACTCTATGACAAAACAATCAAATATTACAGACCAATATAAATCACTACCGCATGTCTGTCTAGTTAATGAACCCGAGAGACAAAATGTGGAGACGATATAGCAAAGACACAAACACATCCTTTGAAGATCCTCGACACTGCGTCTCCACAACGAAACCAGATAACAAATGAGGGAGCGGAATGATTAAGAGACTATTGTTCACTTGATCTTTGAAAAAGACGTCGTGTGCTGCTAGTCTTAGATGTGCTTGTCGCCACGTCGAGCCACCGCGTGCGCCGTGTTTCTGGGTTGAACACAGTGAGATCAAAACTTAGAGGATGGGTGTTACCTGTGTGACTCTCCCCGAGTATAAAGCACTCCCGTGTACTCATTTCAGCTTCCACGCCGTGTTTTAAAACAGTGTCACTACTCCGCTGTGCTCGTTGCCCAAACAAGTGAAACTCACAGTGTCTCGTGCTGTTCTGTGTCCCTCGTGTGCGCCTCCCCCACCCGAACCCTCCCGTGTTTCACCTATTTATACAGCAGCGGGATCTGGCTGTTGTGACAGTGGTTGCGGCTCATCTTGCTGTCTGCTGGGTAGAGGTTGGAGGAGTTGGAGAAGGAAGGTGGGAGGGAATGATTGTCCGTGGTTGGGTTGGGATAGCCGGGCGGAGGGAGCAGGGACTTGGGATCTGGCTGAGAAGAAGGAGGCGGGGCATTGTGGTTCTGATTCTGGCCCGTAGAGGGTCGGCGGCGGTTACGTAGAGCCTGTCGTTCAGCCAGCTGATTGCGGAGCGCCGAAACCCTCTCTTCTTTCTGAAAACACAACCAGAGTCTGCAGTTACAAGCTGAAGCTTTCCTACGATGATCTAGAGCAGATATTTGTCATGTGATCGGCACACAGCCCCGGGGGCCGAAGCATCAGCCCGTGACTGACACTCCGTATAACTGCAGCACAAGCATGTCACAGATTTTTATATCAACTCTCAGAAGAAGAAAAGCACAAACACTTTTCTGGTGGCCAGCCATGAAGTTAAAACTGCCTGGGTTCCTTTGACAAAAACTGTGGGATTTTTCCATGATGTTAGTTTGTTGAAGTGTGTATGCGATCAGTAGGTCTTGCACCAGGTCACATAACTTGACATTTATGATGATGCAGAATTTCCCAGATAACTTCTGTATTCTTATTTAGTTGATTATTAATGAACACTTTCTCTGAGATGCACAAAGGTTTCAAAATTCACAAGCGGGGTATTTACTAAAGTATTTATGATGTAGAACAAAATGTGAAAATAAAATAATAAAATAAAACTTTTTGACTTTGAGACAATGAGCTGCTGCACCTGATGGTGAAAGCAATGAAGAATGTTAGTCAGCTAATGCTGATCCATTTGTTTCAGGATCATTGAAGTCGCTGTTCTGTGGCAGAAAGCATTAAAGCAAACACATCATTTTTACACTGTCAGTTTAAATTAGCCAACATTGAATTAGCCAGGGTTGGCGTGATGATGTGATTTTGCCGCAGGGACAGGAGTGTTTTTCCATACTGTGCAGGACTTTAGAGAATCTGATTCAAAATCTATCTGGTGTTCAGAAAAGTAACTATGAGTTGATGTCCAATGAAAACTGCACTGTCAGAGGGTTATTGTAGTGTCAGTCGCTGCAATTTTATACTGTTAACTAATAATTATGTGAAAATGTAAGTATGGCAATGATGCAGAGAAATTCAAAAGTAATGTAACAAGAAGAGTAACAAATTACTTTCTTCAGGAAGTAAATCAGTAATTTATTCACATTACTTTTTGATAAACCCCTCACATCCTGAGTGTCAGGATTATAAACAACCCCCTGTCTTTCTGCCGACGTCTCACTTTGTGCTCCTGAAACTTTTTCCAATTACAAAGTTCATAAAAAAAATCCCATTTCCGGGTCCCTCATTCTGCTGGCGGTGGATTCCACCACGCAGCAGCTTTTAGTCATTTTCCATTTTTTGCTTGCAGATGGATCTGACAAGGAGTCACCTTCACACAACAAAGTCAGAGAGAGACATTCATTTTTTCCCTCCTGTGGGGACAGGACGTAACTGCACTCTGCCTCTATAGGTTAATAAGTACATTTTAAAAATAATAATTAAACTGATTAAAAAGAAATCACAGTGAAAAAGCAACTCTGATATCTGATTAACTGCTTCAGAAATGTTCCTAGTGAAATACATTTGTGGGTTTCAGCTCCTCAGCTTGTGTGATTTATGTGAGTGAAATATCTTTGGGACCGTTTGGGTGACAAAACAAGACATCAGAAGATGTTATTACAGGTTCAGGGCTATTATGACTCTGAAGTAAACAAAACCAGGATGTGTGGATGAATATGCATGTTGATTAGCTCACCCAGCAAGTGTCCCTGGACGGCGATCCCCGAAGAACATAGCAAATTAGCCTTCTGATCATTCCAGGATTTAAAATTAGACTTTTTATGCTGTTTATATCACTGCTCATATTTTTTTATTATTAGTGCTGTTAGTAAAATGTCACACTCAGGCACTTTTTTTAAACAATTGTTGCTGCTTTAACGTAGAAATTTCCCCTTACAGGTTAAAAAAGCACATTTAACCTTAAACACAAGTGTTTTATATAATTCATAGAAACCTGCAGGGAACTTGTGCTACTTCCTCTAAAATATTCTCTGAAACTTCCTTAAATATCTACAAGGAGATGGCAGAACGCCACATAACACAACCCAGTGAGCCACCGCAGATCTAATAATGTTAAATATAGAAAGCTGGAATACACGGTCACTACAGTAATCAGCAGAGGTCCGGCAGCCTCGCCTCTGTCAGTGCGCCCCAGGCTGTGGCTGTGGCTACAATGTAGCTGCCATCACCAGTGTGTGAATGTGTGTGTGAATGGGTGGATGACTGGTTGTGTAAAGTGCTTTGGGGTCCTTGGGGACTGGTAAAGCGCTATACAAATACAGACCATAATGAAATGAATTGCTACTTATAAAGAAAGATGAGCCAGAAATAACATGAAAACAAAACGGTTACTTCGCTGTTATTAACAGTGATGACAGCAAAACAAACACAATAACTGAAACTCCCGTCTCCATTGGCAGGACTTTCCCAGCATACAGGAATGTTTGATTATCCCAAAAAAGGTTGAGGGAAACAGCAGGAAAATCACCACAGCAACAATAACATTATTATAATGTTTAACTAGTTGTTTCTTCTTTTTCATTCACATCTTTGTTTCTGAAATTGTCAGAACTACCAGGAAAATGCTCCGATTCCTGAAAAGGTATTTCACATAAGCTAACACATCCTCACTGGGACAGTAAATGGTTCACTCTGTGCAGCATGATCACATTTAGAGAACGACCAAAGACCAGCTGTGCAAGAAAAAGTAAAAACATAACTTTAAATTAAGCAACAACAATAATAATTTTGTCACCATAATTAAAGTTTTCGAAACTGAAATAAAAATAACAATAAAGAATTAAATCAAACATGAATTTAATAAGTGAAGAGATGCAGGTTTTTGATTACTTTTAAAACATAAAGCGACAGACAACCTTTCACTAAAAGTTACATAATACTGTTATTACTGTAGTTTTAAGGTTTCAGGTGACTTTATTTGTTCCCATTAGGGTTTAAAATCACAGCCATTAAAAAAACGAAAGAAACTTCAGTCTTTGCTGGATGTCCTCACTCGCTCTGTGGCAGCTGTGGTTTCTAATAATTGAGTTTTAGACTGAAAGATCAGATGAGCCACAGTCTGTGTCTCTGGGAACGCAACACTCACCTCCTCAGTCAATGCAGACGGAGCTTCAGAGTTTTCCCCCTTTAACTTGAACCATTATCAAAACTCAGCTTTTTTTGGCCTCTGACACTGTTTTGGTTTTTCTTTATTTTTCAGTTTCTCTGGCTGAAAATCCTCAGATTGTTTTGCTTTAGCCGACAGGCTTCTCCAAGAAAACAGCTTCACTCTTTGCTGTTCAACCTCGAGGTAAATGTGCTTCCATACAAAGAGAATGGCGGCAGGACAAAGAGCGTTTTAATGATGGACAGAGCTTCCAGGTCTGAAAAGTGAACCCAACAAAAAGTGCCAAGTTTTCCAATTAGAGAGAGCGTCTAGCCTTTAAGGGTCTTAGGCACTAGTTTTATACTCAATAACATGCTAAGTTACCTTAGTCATTAATATAATTAAAAACAAAGATTATCCGAGGTAAGCTCATTGGCTAATGAGCTGTCAGCCAATGAGTGTGCAGACTGCGATGGTGAAAATGCTTCATAGCAGGATTTCATTTACTAACGTTGGAGTGAAACGGCACCATCACAGTGTTTATATCCATCATTTCTATTGTCTATGATTAGTGAGCGAACATGCGTTTATTGATTTATAATGATTCCGACACACTAACGCACAAATACACTTAAAAGGAATTTTCCACATGCATCTAATTACCGTGCAGGTTAAGAGCATTTCTATGCACATATCAGGCAATGAGGTCATCACGTTTGCACTGCATGGGAACATCTTGCAGCATATCTATGTTCACACAAGCAGCACTCTCAGTGCTCAGCATGCCACACAAACATACATAATAAATGAATTACATAAGATATCTGTACAATGATTTTTTACGAGTGTGTAGTTTATCTATCGCCTTCACGGGTGAACTCCAGGTTAAACTGGAATCTGTATTTAATAATAATGATATGTGCATCTGTTTAATGCGTCCTCACCTCCTGGATGATCTTTTGCAGCTCCCTGTTCTCCCTCTCCAGCTGCCTGGACTTTTCCTCGTCGTTGTTGTTGGTGGACGAGCCGGTCTTCAGGGTGTCCTGCTGCTCCGACTGCCACTCGCCGCGGGTGATGAGACGCCGCATCTGGACCGTCGCAGAGACAGGAATTCAATAAAGAAGAAAATCAGGACTGAGACCAGCTACCCTGCGCCCAATGAATAATGCATCTATTCAGAGCCCGTAATAAAACATCTTTAATATTTGCAGCCCTCTCAGCCAAATCACTCACATTTCTCTAAAGGCTTAAAAATATTATTCATCACTGAAGACTTTTATTTTACTTTAGTGACAAGTTCAGCACTCGCTGCTGCGCCGTCTCTGCACAGCAGTGAGCTCCCACAAATATCCTGATAATCAAAGGGTGGAGACGATATTGTGATTTCCTGTTAATGAAATTTGAATTTCTGTAAGCGGCACTCTTCCTTCTGTCTGCAGCAGGTGCACCGCGCGGCTCTTCTTCTGTTCATAACAACCCAAAAAACCCACGGCACTGCCGGACGTGTAAAACGTCTCACTTTGTTTGTTGCGGAAGATTTTTTTTCCTACTCCAAATGTTTACGGCAGCTGCAAATGTAAAAGCTCCCAGCAAGAAATTTCGCAGATTATTACCTTAATGTCAAAACGGTAAGACAGATATGATTTGAGCCGGTCCAATGTTGCGCTACACTCAAACGTCAAAGCGTGTTTATGCAGTTGGGAAACAAAAAAGCTGTCAGAGTGAATAATGTGATCGCGACTGTCGTGCGCTACAAGCTGCAGCTCATTCCTAAAGATGCTGAATTTGAAACGTTTGACCTTCAGTTTCACTTCACTATGAATGTCAGCGGATCTTAAAAGGTGTCAATCATGAGCAGGAGCACCTTGGGTACAAAGAGCACCACCAGTGTGATGTAGGCAGAGAAGACGATAGCTAGAGAAGCAAAGGCAAAGGAGGCGTCCTGCTGTGAAGACAGGATCATAGTCACCGGAGCTGTGATCAGGCACAACACCTGCAGGAAGACAGAGGGAGAGAAAGAAGTAAGAACAAAGGGGAGAGTGAGATTAAATGTAAAAAGAAAGAAGGGAGGTAGGGTTGGAGGACAGGAGGTGGAGAATAGAGCAGAGTTGGAGAGCGACAGGATGAGAGGGGAGGAAAATCACATCCGTAAAAGCATCAGGCATCTGTTTATCATTCCGGGGAGGGCTCCCATGTGAAAACAGCATTAAAAAGTCATGACTGAAGTGGCAACAGCGTGCTGACAATCTCCACATTGTCATCTCATCAGGGCCTGGAGCTCACAACTTAGCAAAGAGGAAGGAGGTCCCCTCGCAGACGCCATTAACTATTGACATCGTCATAAAACTGAAATGTGAATATTATAAGATAAAATAGCAACATTAGACGTGACTCACATTGTGGAGCCATGGGACGAAATGGTCACGCAAAGCTGCATTTAATGACATCATAAACAACCATAAATGATGGATGGATGATAAATCTTCTCCTCGATAAATGAGGCGAGATCTGTCCATTTATTAATTATATATCCACAGAGTATAAGATGATAAATGTGCAGCTGCTCATTAGGGAGCTTTCTTATTCATATATTAATGGGGATTCGGGCCAGTGCAGGAAAATGTCAGTTAAAAACAGCAACCTAAAAAAAACGTTTGCCTTCTCTTGATCAAAACAGGGAAAAAAAAACCTCTGCTGGCAGTTAAAGCAACAGAAACAACTTTTATTTTTTCTCCTGCAGACATTTTACATCAATTCCAAAGTTAGTCTGTGTCAAGAGTGTCAGGAAATGGCAGCAAGAATTTGTCTAAAGTGGCTACGGTGAACATAATGGCTGCTATTCCAGTGTGAAGTGCATCCTAGGTGCCTGCGTTTAAGATGATTCACTTGCTATTAACAGCCGCTGAAAAATGTTTATGACTGACGGCTGCTTTTACTGCCATTCTTTAGTGCCCAAATGGGTGCATTTTTAAACCTATTGCTGCCATGGGACGGGATAACTCCATACTGTGCATGTGGTCTCAGAGATACACTTTGCATTACCCGCACTGTGCAACACGCAGTACATGCCCAGCACTAAAGCTGAACTGCAGCACTCTGATAAGGTTGGCTGGCATCTGAGTGCTGCGCAGTAAAAGTCTGCTTTGTATTCTTTTGATTTCATTTAACATTTACTTCACCGTGAAATGTCTTTGAGTTTGCACTTTGCAAACAAGACTTGAAATAAGAGTATCATAGCAGCGCAGGTACGATGAGGCAACACCTGGAGCTGGCAGCAGAATGATTTGGATAGAAATGCAATAGGGGCTCTGAATTTAAGAGAAAAACATACATATATACACATATATATAAATCCCAGATCAAGATGAATATTAACTTCCTTGTTGAATCTAAATTGACTCTAAAATTTGAATTAAAGATTTACTCCCAACTGTAGGTGCACACAAAGCATTGTAGTCATGTATGGGCAACTAATACAAGCCTAATATGGACCAATCGTGCTCATTTTCAGTGCTGTATTCTTATTCCAGGACCATTCATAATAATCCTTATTTATCTTATGTCATCCCTCGGTTCTTCCTCTGTCTGGAACAAGCCCGTCTACCTCCCCTGCCTCCCTGTAAGTCAGCGGCCCCTTCTCACTTGTTTTTTTGCAGAAGCTAGCATAATATAATTGTGATCTTGTGTATGCTGTCACTGCTTTGAATAATATTAGCTTTCACGCCACAGTACAAGCACATCCTGCATGCTAAAGAGTGATGCCTGCAGTTTACTTAAGGGATGTACGTATCGCTGATCACAAGTTATGCCGAGTTCCTTTAAATTACCTGTGACATTAACTTTTATAAACGACCAGAACCTGTAACGTATTGCCTCTCGAGAGCTGGCCAAGCTACCTGGCTGAACGAGCAGGAAAGTAACTTCTGGAAGGCAAAAAAAATCTCAGCTCCAAAGTAATCATGGACCACTGGCATTGATTAACTCCCTGCTGATATACTGCGGGCATTTTGTGCTACGGAGTAATAAAAACCATACTTATTGCCACTTTGTTATTCCACATCCTACAAAAGCAAGACAGCTGTAAAAATTTAAACCGCCGCACCCAGAAATGGGCTTAGGCATGATGGAGCTGTTTCTTTACGGACTCACAGCAACGTTGTAAATAGCCATCCCCACGGCCCGATGGTCATTGATTTTTTCTGTGGAGACAGACTTGGTCTCATATGCCAGAAAAATGCCCAGCAGCAGCAGCAGACCCTTGTAGCCGTAAACCACACCTAAAGGAAAAGAGAGGAAGAGAGAGAACGGTGAGGCGATGGAGGTGAGTACAGATGAGCAGCCGCGTTATGCAACGCAGGCAGTTGTTTAAAGTGCAAATATTTATATAATATATAAAATATTAATATTAAATATGATGCTGATTTCCATTTTTATGTTAAGACTCAGCAGTTTTTCCTGAATCACACACACCCAAAAATTATTTATATTCATACTGCCTGCTATGCAGCTCTTCAGCTGAAGAGCTGTAACAAGCAGTTTTAGCTCCTCCCTAAAAGCCCAATTGCTACTCATTGGCTAGCTTCCGGAAGCCAGCAGAGGAGCAGCAGTTAGAGATAAAAAAAAAAGGATTATCATTACAGAGAACATAATGCAGGCTTTAGGTTTTAATCAGGGTGTGATGGTGTTGCTATACAGCTTAAAATACTAGCCATCACCAAATGACTCTTTAGTGTCTCCCTGCACTCTGGGATATGTGCATGTGCATTAAATAAATGCAACACTATGAGGGACAGTTAGGGCCAACAGTAGGACTGCTGGGATGTCATGGGGGCTATAAGTTTGGTCATTAGCTTCTGAGAGTCAATCTTCATTTCGGTTCGAGTGTAAGATTCTCCTGGTGAACATAATCTCACGCGTGTTCGTTCGGTCACGCACTCAATAAATAAACGACTACATGACTGAAGAAACCTAAACAGATGAACACATTCATATTATGAACAAAATCACAGACTATCTGCAAACATGTGAAACATGACAGCTCGGGACCATATTGGTTGGGTCTGATTATTGGGGTGTCATAACCCCCCTAACCCCCCTGGGAATTGCGCCCCTGCTTGGGACACGTCCCTTCTCCATAAATGAAATACTTTGGAACAATAGCAGGCTACCTGAAAGTGTCACGCACACGCTGTCAGGACAGTCTGATGCTGAATTACAGTTATAGCCCTGTAAAGTGTCACATATACACTGTGTTCCCTCTAAATTCTGAGATATTGGAAGCAAAACTCCTCATTTCCAAAAGACCAATTTCACATCAAAATGCCCTGAAATTGTGTAAGCGACACAGCGAGATAGTCTGTTATCAAGTGAAACTGGTGGAAAAATGGACGTTTCTCTGTGTCATTTGCTGCTTTTCAGACTCAGATGGTGTTTGGAAATGGATTCTTTATTATTAGGCGATTCTTAAGTTTGCAGTTTGCAGCTGCTGTTCTTCTTGTTTATTTTCATTTTGTGTTGTTTACCTATTTATGTCTTTTATTTATTCATTTATTGAAAGTCTGAAATGAATCACTTTTTACAGGCCGTTACCATAAACCAACAAGTTTTGTCCCTTTGCCAGTGCTGTAGGCACAAACGTAAAGAATAACCTTTACCCGGTAGTAACTACGGAGAAAATAATGAAAGCTATTAAAATATGAACCAAATGAAAACTAATGAATAAAATGTTTAAAACAAAATCATTTGGAGTTTTCATGATTAATGCAATACAAATTTGTCCACCTAACATTAACACACGTGTGTAAAGGTAAAACATGCTCAAACCTTAGTCGTGTTTTTTTAGGTCAAGAAAACTGTCAGCAAAGAGTTTTGGCTTTTGAAGCCACAAAGACTATTTTGTATATATTTCTCAAAGTGGATGCTAAGGAGATGCTGAAATGTGACAGGTAGAGAAAAAAAGAGCACATGCCGTGGAACGTCTCCAGGATGCTGAGGTGGGAGGAGAAACTGGGGGGGTTGTTGATGGGCTTCATTCAGATCAGCAGCAACATAAGAGACAGAAGGCCTTGAGGCTGTTGTAATTTTTGTCCTTGGATTGCTATTATGTCATTAAATTTTAATATTGTTTCAGGCGAGAGAGTAGCCACTTAAATCCTGAATATTTGGCCAGTTTATCCAAATAATGTCTGAAATCTGGTCCGTCTATTTTGGAGACAAAGATCCACCCGCCGGGTAAGATGGATCAGTGTCCATCACAGTCCCTGAGCTTGGCACACCCTTTAGGTCTTTACTGCTGACGTGATAAGTTGTAGTTGTGGATTTGGTTTCCCTGAATGTTTTTGCTTTTGCTTGTATGCCATTAGATACCACTGCAGGATACCGTCATAGTGACATGACTGCTTCCATTAATTTTAAAGTCAGCTCTCCATGAATTGTATATGTTACAGCAAATTTACTAGTAACAGGAAGCATCACATATCCTGTAAAAACAGCCGCGTAATGCCTCTGGAGGCAAATCTGCGACCCTGATATCTCAGATTTAGCTTTTGCAAGCAAGGTTGTGTTGCATTGTGGGGGCTACAAGAGCCGTTTTTGACCTTTTCTGCCACAGTAAGATCTTTCTTTTTTAGCTATGCAAGCTAGCTTGAGGTACAAGGGTAGCCTCTTCTTGGTCAATCACATTTTGAATGACTGATTAATTCTACTCCAATTTGGATGAATTTAATGGAATTTGGTATAATCATGAAGGCTGGGCGAATAAACCGAATGTCTTTGGTTTTCCTGCTTCCTGGTCTCTAGACCTGTGTGACTGAGACCTAAAATCATGAAACAAAACAAAAAAGTCCCAGACAAGCCTTAAACTTCATACTGCTGTATGAAAGTCATGGGTTTTCTTATGAGGACTTTAAACGATTAGTAAAATTGTATCATGACACAGTACGGTTTATGGTGGAAAGTGACACTAGTGTGTGTTAAAATGTGACAACAGTGTGAGAGTGAGACAGCTTTGGACTCTCTGGGGATGTCAACATATGAAGAGACTTGCAGAAGTCAATCAATCACCAGCTACACATCGATAAAGGCCTTTAGTCCCCCGGTCTTATTTTAGTTTGTGTCTCAAATACATTTTATGTATATTTAATGCAAAATAACTGAGATATTTATGGATGTTTTACAAATTTTGGGCTCATGCTGACTTAACACCAAGTGCTGGTGATAAATTCAATGTGGTCTTTGAGGAGTAAAAACACTGCACAGATGTAAAGTCAAAAATGTTGATACAATAGATACTGAAGAGAAAAATATGCTGGATACAAAGAAATCCAGTCAGAGTCGGAGAGAAAAGAGAATCGGTGACTGAGTAAAATTCAACACTTATTCAGACTGTCCATTGTTTCTTTACACCGCCTGATATTAAAGCACCATCTTTTCTTCCCAGAGAAGGGAAATGCTATGGGGCAATGGCCCAGTTTGTGACCCACATTATTTGAATTTCAGCACCATTATACTTTCATAAGAGCTGCCACACTAAGAAAGATAGCAGCGAGACAGACAGAGAGAGGGACTGCGTGGGCCGACAAAAAGCAAAGAGGGAGTAAAGCAGGAGAGAAAAGAGGACTCAAATGTAAGGGGCGGCGGGGGCTGAGGGATACGAGGGCTGTGATATGAGACCTGTTAAATTCTGAGTGAGCGGCAGTGACGTGTGTGCGCATATGTCCGCGTGTCACAAAGATACTCAAAACCAGAGGAGGGTGAAGCAGAATAGGGAGACAGATTGTTAAGAGAGGACAGATACCGAGCCACGTGTTCATCTTCTTTGAGCTGCAGTGCTCCAGCAGGGGCTGAATCAGGACATCCAAATCTTCTTTAGGAGCCTCCTTAGTGAACTTCTACTCACACGGCAGACAATGGAAAAGGAAAGAGGGATGGAAGGATGAGAGTGAGAAAGGGAAAGGGAGCGAGAAGACAGAGAGGGGGAGATAATAAGAAACTATGAAACAGTAGCATGGGCAAAATTGCACAGTAAGTATAAGCCTCAGCGACCGATCCCCTCGGGTAAATAGGGCCTTCCCGACAGGCAGATATAGATCACTGAATTAAAAGGATATCAGACATCCAATAAATAGGAAATATGAGCATTTTAAAAGTCCATCAAATGTAAGACTTGACTGTAATTACATCCACTGTGGTGCAGGTTTGTAAATCGCTTGCTCCCGACTGAGGACGAAAGTGCTTAATGAGTATGTTTGCGTGCATTTGAGTATCCTGGTGTTCTCATCTTAATCCGATTTGGACTGTATTCAGGACATAAAATTTAAATGGAAGACTGTCCGAAGACACAATAATAACATCTGTGTCTCGATTCCTGAACACTGACATTCATTTTCTACTAAATGAGGCTAAAGAGATAAAGTCAGCTTGCTTTTGCTGTGTGGGTCACCACCCTGTCTCAGCACAAACACCATTCCTAATCTGCAAGACACGGACTGCATATGAAAGATGAATTTAGAGATCATGATCGCTGATTTGTGAACTCTGCATTTTAATGCCTCACAGTTGGTTCTTTCCCCTTTGCCATGTTTATCAGAGCAGCCAGGAGTGACCATGCTGGATGCCATTAAAATAAAAAAAATATTCAAATGGCGCCAACACTAAAAACATGTCTGTGACTCTATTATTAGCTGAGTTGAAGACACCGGCTAGTAGCATCTCCTATCACTCAAAATGTCCATCATATGTCCGCATGTCTTAGTAATCTTTAATAATAAGAATCTACTGGACTCATTTTGCGTGCTGCTTGGAGCTAGTCTCAAGCGACACTTTGAGGGACTGCTTTCCCATTTTTGGCATCACTGTCTTGGCTTTGCTTTTTGGCTACAGAAGCTGCTGCTTGGTGCAACACCCACAAACAATGGCAATAAGAACAAAAGGCAAAATGTGGAGGGAAGGACGCTGCCACCTTGCACTAATGACTTAATTTGCAACCAGAGTTTGCACAGCTGTAACTGTGGGTGGAGACAAGGTATCAAGGACAATGTATTATTATGCATGTAGGTGCAGAAGACAAACAGCTTGAAGCTAATAACATTTGTCTAGAAAACAGTTAGCATGAAGCTAGCTCTTTGACAACGAAGGACATTCCAGAAGCCGGTTGGGCTACTGTGCTGACTTTTGGGCATCTCCAATGCAAAATGATGGTAACTATTTCAGTTATATTTTGGCTTTACTTTTGTACTTTGGGATGAGAGCTGGTGAGCTGTCCATTTGTATATGCACTCTATGGCAACACTACAAAACCCCACTGTAACTCGTGTCAAAGGTTCCCTGTGGTGAGGACACAAATGAGGACTAACATGAGAGTTTAGGGCTTTGCGCAGGTTTTAGACAGAACGTTCTGTCTCCGTTTGTCTGGATGCGAGCTATTCCTGCTGCTCCGGCTCGTCTTGGTCACTTCCGTTTTTTCCTACACAGACAAAATCATCTCTTACTCAGTTTCAACATCCCTGCTCTCATCCACTCCAATCTCCTCCCTTCATCTGTGGCTCTGCTCTGTGATGTTTCATCTCATTGGAGTCTAACCAAAATAAGTTTAATTTGCATGCTCACGTTTCCGCAATAAATTTTGGTCTTATCTTCCAAATGATCTCTTCCTCTTGAAATGCAGATCATTTCGCGGAGTAGAAAGTGTGAAGTGGTAAAAAGAAGCAGAGGAGAGCACTTGCAATTTTCCCATCATTGCAGTGGTTTCAAATCAGAATTTTCATGTTAGCAGTGATTTACCTGCGTGCGTTTTCATTTTATGAAAGGGGTGACTCACAGTGACAAACACACACTGCAGTTTCTCTGTTTTACAGCGTATTTTGCCCCAGTGTTTTTACTCACCGCAGCTCTCAAAGCATTGTTTTCAGCTGCAGCAGGCAGCCGTTTTTAGCAAGAAAGCTGCAAAAGCCCACTGTGCACAGTTAGTAACTAGCTAGTGAATATAGTAGCTCATTTAGCAGCCAAAGAGCCAGATATTTCTCTCAGAGGTTAGCAGAGAATAAAAAGAGACCTAAAAGAAATTCAATTGGTTACCAGAAAGCTTGTTATGCCACTATTCAGTTTGGAAATAAAGTAAAACTTGAATATAGATTTTTTAAAAATGGCCAGTTATTGGACTTTAATTTTAATAGATTTCAAATCAAAGCAAACAGCCAAACTGTCCTTCAACTAATATCTCTTCAAGCTGGTGTGTATAAGCAAGTATCACATCATCCATTATCAATGTGTTCTGAGCTCAAAGTGAGTTCAGCAATGTTTCATTTTTCCCCACTGTGACACATCAAAATGGCTCATTATGATACCAAAAAACACAAAACATAGAAGCATTAACTGAATTTGGACACTAAGGGGATAAAAAGCAGCAAAGGAATATGTAGCCATCTCTTTATGCTGCAGGTTTTCCAGCGTTCCCTCTCTATGTTGAACTTTAACTTTGGTCAGCTACATATTTTAAGGAATATCCCTCAGCTTTTAGCTACTAACTTCAACACAGACTGACTGACTGCTGTGTAGTGCTCAGCAGGTAACACAGAGCACCTTAATGGGAGGTTTTTCTTCTCTGGAAATTATTGTCTGTGTTATTATTGAAAAGAATTAAAAAGAAGTTTAAAAGGTAAATTGAAACGGTTAAAAAAGTAAAGATGGGTATTCGGTTACCCCGCAGTCTTACAAAGGACCAGCAGGGGGAGCCTCCCGTGGTTTCGATAAGAAGTCAGCGTGTGCAGAAATTTGTGGAAAAACGACCTTTCTGCCATGTTGGTTACATTTACGTTGGTTTATACATTAATAAAAACTTTCCTGCTGAGCTTATGGTCAAGTTTTGTTTCATAAAAAATTGTAAATTCATTAAGAGTCAAATAAATACAAACTTTGGTTGCTTTAGAGAAGCTGCTTTGTGAGAGTGCAGTGTTTCTATGTCAGAGTCATAACGCTCGTGTCAAAGATTCAAAATAACTACTGTATGATGTTACAGGCACCACATCTATTTCTCTGTATACTCTGTAGTGAAAAAATACTCCATATCCCTTCACTACAGGGAAAAAAGGATTTTTTTTCCTAAACTGTAAGAGCTGAAAATGAGCAAGCCTGAAGATTCAAACAGACAGAACCATTTTTTAAAATATACTAATGGTGTGTTTAAAGTACTATTACAATTTAATGGAAGCCGTTGGTATGAAGAAACAAAGCATGATGGGTGACCCAATCACAAGCGCACAGTTATGATTCTTACAACACTTGAACAGCGGCTTAGCATCAATCGCACCGGCCCGCGTGGCCATTTTTTAAAGTTATTGTTCATAATGTGAACGTAGTACAAGACCACAGCAACGGCAGCAATACTTTACTTTGTAGTAAGTGTATGCAAAACAGCAAAACGGCATGCTGCTCATCATTTAGAGGATGAAGAATAAAATGGGTCCAAGTTTTTAGTCCTTCTTGAATAAAGGTGGTTAAAACATACGATCCTACAGAGAGGCAGGGATAACCTTGCTCACAATAGAGATGCCACAGGGTAACCTGTGCTTTTAACAGACATCAAGCACAGATCAACATATAACGGCTACATTTGGCTGCTCCCTTATTCAGCAGGTAGCTGAGCCGGTTTGATTTGACAGGTTTTTACACCGGATGCCCTCCCTGGTGTAACTCCCAAAGGATTTGAGTCTCCTCCCGGGATAAATATATAAAAGTCCTAAATATCAGTGTTCCAGTGCTACTGCTCATCTGCGCTTAAACATGATATTTATCCCTGGTTCAAACTGTGCTCTTTGAGTCAAGATGAATCCAAATGAAAGAACAATTCTTCAGTCGCGACCGAGCGTCTCATTACTGCGTTTCTGACTGATGGCTGTGGCTGCACAGTCTGTGCAAACGGGCGGTGACACACAAATGATCTCATCTGTCTCTAGTACTCTACCTCCTTAGTAATGTGCAGAGGATCCACAATCTGCCAGATCATGAGTGACAGGAAGTCGATAGCCAGCAGCACCCCGACCGTTGCGTAGAGTTTCCACGGCTCCAAGTGTTGCTGTGTGAGTCGGAGACAGAGACACACAAACAGAAACACAAGAGTCATCACTATCCAAGGGCATCACGAGCTGGTCCGCAAACAAAGACAAACTACCAGGACAAATAATGCGACAGGCGTCCTTGTGATTTCTGGATGACTGGGCACGAATTGTCTCTCCGAATGTGTGTCTTGACAGAGTGTGCGTTTTCAGAAGCAGCAGGAGTTTGTGTGCGGCTACAGAGCCCGTATTTGCACCTGAAATCATCGTTTATACAAACTGAGATGACACTGCTTTCGTGTGGAAGCGAGCGCTATCAATTCTATTATTCTTTACTTGAGCTATAATGGAAGCAATAAAGCCGTAACCGAAAAACAAGCAACAAAAATGAGCTTTCCCACTTTGCTCCCCCCTCTCTCCAGCTTTTTTTTTTTTTTACTTCAGCCATGCTGGCTCACGCATAGCACCTCCAACATTGTAACAGCCATTCAAGCGTGGAACAACCAAAACCGAAGAATAAAATAAAGAAGAAAACACATTACACAGTCCTGGGACGCCTCTTCACTTGAGTTGCATGAAAAATGACTTGAAAAGCGCCCATTGTCCCCTCCATTTGTGAAAGTTTCTTTAAATACTCTCACTGAGCTCTCTGGCAAATTGCCCTTCTGTGGACAGGAAGAGAACTGAAAGTCAACCTGATTCGTTCTGCTTTGGCTCAAATAATAAAGCCCCGAAGGCTGGATTTCTGCATTGAACTTTAATACTCATCCATATTCATAAATATTCCATAAATGGCTTAATCTCTTATTCTTCTGATTAGGTCTTAGAAATTCCCACAACACATCACAGACTGGCAATATCTTACTGGCTGCAGGATACACTATCTTTAAAGAGGGTAAAAACTAACACAAACACAGAACTAGATACAAACTCTGCTCCAGCATGCAAACAAATGTGATGACGAGGGAATCGGGAGCTCAGACTCTTTCGTCTCCATGTGTGCTTTACGTGTACAGTATCTGTATCAGTGTGTGTCCAACCCTTATCCGTGCTCTCTGCTAGTGGATGATGCAACGCTCGCCCCTCAGAAGCTTATGTTACTACGAAGGCTGCACAGTTTTTTTAAAAGAACTTTTTTATCAGCCGGTGCCACACACGCCGCGTGGCCTGTGCCCGCCATCCCATCCTTTCTCTGCTCTCCGGAGATGCCCGAGAGGCTAATCCCAACCGCCCTCGATTCCTCTCCGCCTCCATCCTGCTCACCTTCTTCTTCTCCTTCTTCTCATCCTTCTTGGTGAAGAGGGTGTGGACCCACCAGATCTTGGTGAACATGCTGCCGTACGCCAGGCTAAAGCCGAGGCCGAGGAGCCACAGGCGGAACTGCAGGAGAGCAGAGAGGAGCAAAAGTGGAGTAGAGAAGGAGGAATGAGAGGATTAGGCTCGAGGAGAGGATTTTCATTTTAAAATACCTTTATTCAAGGATACGGCAAAGTTTGGACATGTTTACTCATTCACAGGTTTTTCATTACTTTTAGATTTTATACACTTTAAGAAAAAAGCGATTGAGCAGCACATTTGAATTATATCACAAGTTAAAAAGAAAAAACTTCAAAGAGATTCTTTGAAGCAGCCAATTTTTAGTGTAATCTTTGCACTCTTCACTCTCTTAACTAGCTTAATGAACGTTTCCAAACAGAAGTTTTCATACATAGACCACTTATTGACTGCTCTTCCTTCACTCTGCGCTTCAGTTCATCCCATCTCAGCTGGGTTTAGGTCGGTAATGGTGGAGGTCACAGGATCTGATGCCGCTTGAGATAATCACCTCAGAATTATAACCAAACTAGTCCTTTTTCACATAGTACTTAAAGGAAATAGTCCCACTTACTTTTAGAGCTTTATTTTATTTATATTTGTCTATTTTAGTTATTGACGCTGACGCAACCGAGTATCACGCAGATTTTGTACTCGGGAAAGCTTAAGGACTAATATGGCTAATGTCAGATCCAGATGCACCTTTTAGGTTTCCATAATGTTTGAAAACAGCTCAAACAGCCGTCACTGAGCCTACAGTTGCTGTTTTTGTTCATTGTTCTGCTTTCAGAGTAATGATGCTTCCATCCAGCTCAAACCAGAGAGGTCAGTGTGCCTCTGCAGGGTGCTGCGGTAGCCACACTGCCTTTAATTGTGAATGAATCTCCAGAAGTGTTGAGAGGAAAGCCCCCTACACCAGCGGTCTCCAACCTTTTTTGCGCCATGGACCGGTTTATGCCCGACAATATTTTCATGGACTGGCCTTTAAGGTGTCGCGGATAAATACAACAAAATAAAACTAGTACTGGTACCGAAAAAAAGAAAAGTTATTCATAACACACATGAAAAGACCCAGGGAAACCGAGTAAACGATAAAAACGATAACAAAATAACGCTGAAAACCGATAAAAACCCTGAAAAGCAAACATTTCACACCTGAGCCTCAACTCTCGCGGCCCGGTACCAAAGACTGACGGACCGGTACCGGTCCAAGGCCCGGGGGTTGGGGACCGCTGATTAAGAGGACCCGAGGGAAGCTCGGAAAGCTAAGCAGAAGTTATTTGGAGAGGAGAGTGACTGCCGTTGGTTGAAAAGAGAGGTAAAAAAACTTCAGTGGTGTGGAAACATTATGGGTTCAGTCAGACGTGGATCAAGTAGACACAGTGTGTAAACTTTGCAACAGTGTCGTAGCTGCACCACAGAGCAACACTGCAAAGTTCACTAAACATAGATGTTTACATTTTTCATTTATTTTTTATATTGCAAACATTTGCACTGTTATCAGTATTTGCACACTATTTTATATTATTTTTTAAAGTCATTATTCAACACATTGTTATTGTTAAATAAATCTTGTCAAATAATCGAGATCTCAATTTCAGTGAAAATAATCCTGATTATCATTTTTGCCATAATCGAGCAGCCCTATCTCGAGCATAGCACAGAGCAGCTTATGACCAGTATTAAACTTACCAACTAGAACCACAGAAGAATCCCAGTCTGTTGGAAAAATGTGAAATAGTTGCAACTTTGTGTTCAAGTACACAAACATATAAACCAGATTGCTGTTGCAGTCTATCAGTTTTCTTCCTGTTAAAGGGAGGTTTTTTCTTCCCACTGTCACCAAGTGCTAGCTTGATTGTAGGGTATTTATTTTACAATATAAAGCACCTCGAGGCGACTACTGTTGAGATCTTTTGCTTATATAAAGAAAACTGGATTGAATGAAAGCACTAAATAAAATGATGACAAATTTTCTGTATTTGCATCTTTCATATATGGAGATCGGTGCATTTGTGCTGCATGGGGACGTTTGAGTTAAGTGATGTTTGTTAAGAATTCCAACACGGCCATTATTAAATAACAACGAAACAAACAAAATCTTTATCTTAATGGAAAGAAAATCCCATTAAAGCTGTATATGGCTCTGTGTTTTCATTCTTTAAAATCCAACACATCCACAATAGGAGGAGAGGGACGAGTTAGCAAGAGGAGAGTAGCAGAGAGGGTGAGATGAACAAAAGAAAAAAGGAGAATGAGAGAATGGGGGTAGACAGACACACTGATAGATATATAAGGGGAGAGTGGGAGAGTAAAGTATGGGGCGCAAAAAAGATAGATGACAAGGTGAGATGCAGAGAGCGGGCAATAGTAGGGGAGAGATAATATGAATCCCAAGAGATGGCGAGATTGCAGGAACAGAAAAAAGAAGAAGGTCAGAGGCAGAGTGCAAGAGAGAGGCAGAACAAAGCATGAGAGGGAATAACTGGACAGGGACAAAGAGCAGAGAAGCGACAGAAATGGAAATCTCCGCCTGCTACACAAAGGCTCGACATGGGTGACAGAGACATACTCCCACTCCTCATTAGCGCTGGGATCCCATCGTCTGTGCCATCCCGACACCCAGAAAGTCGTGGCCGCAACAACGAATGCCAAAATCATTTCAAACACTTAATGAATTTTGACAGTGTTTAAACTTTGGTCGTCTTTCATGCGCTAAATAAGCACGATCAAAACCCTGAGCTGACTGCTGTCTGGTTTGCAGGTGTGCGCGTGCCACAGGCGACGAACATCACAGCTGTCCGTGCGTCATGACACCTAAACGTGGGCTTGCTTAAAGTAGACACAATTTCACAGAAGGGTAGAGCTTTACTAAACCTGACAGCTGTATCTGGAAAGTGCAAAAACATAAGCAAATGTGTTAAACAGATGCATATAAACAATCCTGATTTGAGAGCTCATGCAGCTGGACCAGTCACTTCCAATTCATGTTTCCAGAAACTATGTAAAACTTTCCAAAGAGGATCCTGGAGGATCTGGGACTAATAATGGATTGGATTTATATAGCGCTTTTCAAGGCACCCAAAGCGCTTTACAATGCCGCTATTCATTCACTCTCACATCCACACACTGGTGGAGGCAGCTACAGTTGTAGCCACAGCTGCCCTGGGGCAGACTGACAGAAGCGAGGCTGCCATATCGCGCCATCGGCCCCTCTGGCCAACACCAGTAGGCGGTAGGGTAAAGTGTCTTGCCCAAGGACACAACGACCAGGACAGAGAGCCCGGGGATCGAACCGGCAACCTTCCGGTTACAGATATGCTTCCCAACCCCCTGAGCCACTAAAACTATATCTGTGTAATTCACTTCCCTGTGTGCACGCAGCAACATGACAGCTTTAATTAAATGCTGAAACAAGAGAGGGAAAAGCTATTTAAACCATGTGACACCCTATTTATAACCTGTGAAAGGTAATTCAACAAAAATAACACATGCACACCCAAAGAGCACTTTATTAGTCCACTTGCACTGTATAACAAAAACCGTCTTCTGGACAAAAAGTGTTTCTTTTTTTTCCCCCTTGATCCTCAAAGACAGAGAAAATACCTGCAGGCCATTTAATTAGTTACACCTTGCTGGTAACAGGTTGGTTTCAATTCTTCATGGCATTGATTCAACAAACGAGCCTGAAACGTTCCTCTGAGGTTTTGGACCATACTGACACGACAGCATCACTCAGTTAAAGCAGATTTGTTGGCTGCACATCCATGATGTGAATCTCCTGTTCCACCACAGCACAAAGGTGCTCTGTTGGACTGACTGGATTGATCTGGTGACCGCTTCCCCAGTAAGAAAATATTAGCACACCTTTACACCACCGACAGCCTGAACTGTTGATACAACACCGAATGGATCCATGCTTTCATGTTGTTTTTACCAAATTCTGAAACTACCTTCTCAGAGCAAGCAATGTACGCAAGATTAATGCAGATCTGTAATCACTCATCTGCTGCTAGTCTATTATTTAAATCACTTCCGCTTTCCCGCGCTGTCAAACTCGGTGCTGACATCATTGCTCTAGTCCAATCATCTTCTTGCCGCCTTGTTCTCAGCCGCTGCTGTGCATGCATTAAATCTCAGAGCTCTTCTGTCATCCTCCCTTTCGTACTCCCTCAGAAAAGCAGGACTCTCCACACTTCCCCTCACAACTTTCTACAGAGGCACCATTGAAAACATCCTGACACAAGGTTTTACAGCTTGGTTCGGCAGCTGCAAGTCCTGCGAGAAGCGTTAACTTAATAGGATAGTTAAGACTGCCAGGAGGATTGTTGGTGCCCCTCTCTCATCACTGGAGGAGATCTACAAACAGCGCTGCATATGCAGAGCTATCTCCATCATCAGAGACCCCCACCACCCCTCCCATGGCCTGTTCTCCCTCCTGCCGTCTGGCAAGAGGTACAGGAGCATCAGCTGCAGAACCACCAGGATGCTGGAAGGGTTCTTTGCACAAGCCGTGAGACTGATAAATGGACTGTGCCCTGTTCTACTGGGATTCTGTTCAATTCGATGTGTTGTGCATCCAGAGATGCTTTTCCACGTAACTTGATTGTAGCGATTCGAGTCTACGTTGCCTTCCTATCAGCTCCAAGGAGTCTGGCCATTCTCCTCTGACCTCTGGCATCATCAAGGCATTTTCACCCAGAGAACTGCTGCTCACTGAGTTTTGTAAACCTTACAGACGTTATGTAGGAAAATCCCCGTAGATCAGCAGTTTGTGAAACACAGACCAGTCCATCTGGCACCAACAACCTTTCTGATGCTCAGTCTGAACTTCAGCAGGTCACCTTGGCTATGCACTGCTGCCACATGATTGGCTTATTAGATATTTGTCTTAGTGAACAGTTAAACAGGTGTGCCAAATAAAGTGGCCGTGTCCTGACACTACTAACCTACTAACTAGTTTCACATTGTTATCAACAATCAGAATTAAAATATTCTTAAACCAACCAAGTAATTTTTATGCTAGCAGGGTGATGTGTTGGATTAACTATAGCATCCCAGCTGCATTTTGTTTTTATTGATTGTTTGTTATTCTGTCCATACGTTTATCACCTGTTCCTCTATCGATGTCTCTGACTGAAGGAGGTGAGACTCAGTTCATTTTGTGAGGAAGATGAGTGATTTTTCCCCCCCTTTTTAACAAGAACACACAGGGCCTGAAGAAAAAACCACTTCATGTTGGTTTCACTTTTCACTCCTCCCTGAGTACATCACCTGGAAAAGTATCACACATTAAAACAGAATTTCACTCACCAAAAATAGAGCACATTCTTGGAAGCTCTGTTATTAAAAATTACACGCACGGCAACCCAAATTACTGGTCTGCTCTAAAAGGAAGCAACAATGCAAAGCACCCTCAAACACTTCAATTCTGCAACTCCAGTGAGCTGAGGAGAAGTGTAACAGCTTCTAGAGGAAACATCGAGCCGTCTGTCAAAGCACACGTGAACTTTAAGCCTTAATAAAAGGAACATTAAAAATATATATCCCCTGCACCCCTCACACATACAGTTATGAAGCTGTAAATTAACTATAGAGTCCTGAGCTACTTTTGTGCACTTCTGATATAAAGTTGGGCATTTAAAGTCCATGAGGATTGTTTTACTTTTGGAGCCACTCGAGAAAGTTTTTGGCCTCATTTTTCAGGCCAATAATGTGTCTTGTTGATGCTTATCAAGTTCTCAGCTACTGGTATCACATCACTAGAAAAATATATTTGTAGCTACAATAACACGATTACTCCTCTTCACTTCTGGCTACTACTTGCCCTTCCCTCCCTGTGTCGTTTTCTCTGTTACCTGGCAGACGACGGGGAACTGAGACTTCTGGACGTGGTGACCATCAATCCCCAGCGGGAACACAGCAGCGAGCGCCATCATGCAGCCCACCGCTGTCATGTTGTTCAGGTAGGGCTGTGAGTTCTGGATGTACCTGAAATTGTAACAGATTCACACAGGAACACAAATAAAGAGAAAAAAAACACAATAAGAAAAAACATGTTTCAGCTTAAAGGTAGATTCAATGAATTTGTAAGCAGGCGGTAATTGTTTTGTTGCGAGCTCCAAGAAAGCTCATCTTTTTTTTGTAGGTTTTTTTAAATTAAAATGTTATCATCCTGATTTGCTTGTTTGGACGGTCTCCTGGCGTGTTCATCACACTGAGAAGGTCCAAATATAGAAACACTCTTCCTCCCCGGGCATCTCCTTTGATGTGTGATTGGCACTCATTAGTCTAATTAGTGCAGACAGAAGGCGACGTCCTATCTTCTGTGAGCAGTGCAAGAGGACAATTTTAGGTGAGGCATTTTTTCACCATACAGCCACAAAGAAAAAAAGGTTATTTGTTGTGTGCACGGCATTAGATGGATAAAATACAGGGAAAATCATTAGTCTGCTTTGTAGAGGTTTTTATCACAAACACACAAACACAAAAGGTCAGGGTGTTTTTCTTGCTGTATCTTCACAGGAAAGATTGCCAAAGAGAGAATGACTCACTTCCTACGCATCACAGATACCTGTAAAAATCTAACAGTTGAGTACTGTCTGATTTAGTTGAGGGGATTTAATTCAATAACCTTCTAAACAGAGTTTAACATTTGCCACAGTAGCAAACATTCCCCGTGGAGGTGCACTATTTACCTCTATTTCATGAAGTAAAAACACTTTTTATTGCCAGTGTGTGAACAGACTGTTCAGCTTAAAAACTCAGATCTTCCCTCCACAGCATGGCTTTTGTCCCGTCTTCCTCCCCTCGCCCCCTACCGGTCACGGCAGACGGCCGCCCATCTCTGAGCCTGGTTCCGCTGGATGTTTCTTCCTGTTAAAAGGGAGTTTTTCCTTCCCACTGTTGCCATGTGCTTGCTCAAAAGGGATTGTTTGATTGATGGGGTTTTCTTTGTATTACTGTAGGGTCTTGTACCTTACAATATAAAGTACAATAACCTCCTAAGACCCGAACTCTTTCATGACATGCATATTTAATTTCTCTTTGCTATTTCGGCTGATTGGGACCTGATGAATGTAAAAACAAAGAATTATCTTTTTACCAAATTTTGCGCTCCAAGGGCCCGACATCCACATATGAGCACATTCGTTTTCAATTTTGATAGAACAGTGGCAGTACAATGTCCTCGTAAGTGTATATCAGGCCCTTGTAGAGCAAAATTTAGTATTGTGGTCTAGACAACCCAGAATGTGATGTCTGCATGTGTAGACGCCAGGTCCTAGGAGGTTTCAGCCAACTGCTGTTGTGCTTTGGTGCTACAAAATAATTTAACTGAATTAAAAAGGTTCTCTTGGTCGCCTCCATAAGCCTGTGGACTGACTCGTTCTTCACTGGGGTTTCTATACATGTAATTTGATTATCAGAATTCCTATGGAAGCAGTACATGTGTACTTTGTAGTGGATCTGAGGCTGGATTTACCTCATTTTAAGACCTGCTAAGGACCACATGACTTTTATTATGGTATGAAAAACCTGGAGTACTTTCTTTTTACCATTTCTGCATTTGTTGGTTTCCCAGTTATACAACATACATGGCATCCAGTAGTCAATATAAAGCAGTGGAGCCTAAGAGTAGGATAGTGTAATCGGTGCTAGCACACACACTGCATGTGAGCATAAGCTGCACCCAAATGCAGGCAACACTGCTGAATACGACTAATAACAATAGTTTTCTGGAAGCTGCACAGTGTCTTTAAGCTCTCCGTGGTCTACACCCTGCTTTGAAAAATCAGATGAAAGTTTTGCTGCAGCAGTCATATTTAAAAACGATAGTGAGTGTGGGAGAAGAGACAGGAGCTAAATGGACAATCAAGAAGAAAAAACAGGCACAGTGATTTCTCTCTGTTCAAGACAATGTGTTTATTTAAATTCCTCCAGGGACCTTCTCAGCATTATAATGTTCCCAAGAAGAGATTTAGTTTCAATTTAAGAGTTTTTAATATATTCTGCTCAGGCTGCCGATCTCCTGCAGCAGAGTGTGCACGTTTGACTCTTTTATCCCATTGACCTGCCCTTGCACATCCCCGGGGGGCCGCACTGCTTATTTACAGCACAGCTCCACACTCATGTAGAGCGCATACAAACATACATTCACATGTACGCTCTCTGACTCGCTAACGAATGCTAGAACATCTGAAGTAACCTTTCAGTCTGTTACATACCATTGACGTATGAGGTGCTGCGGGGGTTATTCTCTGACATGAAGTGTTGCTTTCTCCTTTTATTATGCACAGCGTTGAACTGCTGCTTTGAATTATGATTGATTGAGGCCAGTGTTGGAAGAAAAACTGTCATTTTTTTCCCCTTCTGTGCTCGATTTTTATCTCTGCATGACTGCTCTCACACGATAACAGTATGTGATGTATGTGACACCAGGGAGCATAAATATATAGATCAGAAGCATTAGAGTGCTGCACAGCCTGCTGTCAGTCACCACAATTTGGTTTCTGTATCATGCGCTAATGCAAAATTACCCATTTAATGAGTCAGTATGACTTTGTCGTTTGCTTAAAAAAAGCCTGTGCCAACCAGAACTGGGCCAGAACTAATGAAACAAATATCCAGGGTTTCAGGATGCAAATCCCTTACAAGAAATGTTAACCACTAATCAAATATAAGTATTTTTCCTGTTGCCTGTAGTGCTGTGTTTCCCAGTATTGGAGATCGTGTAGAGATGTCTGCCTTCCGATGAATGTAATGGAAATAAATTGTATTTGCCTTGTGGTGCTCAGAGCAAGAAAACACTGAAAATTAGTAGCTTTTCAGTCTCTTTCCTGAAAGCAGAATCAGTTCGTTGGACGATGTTTGAAAGGTTCCAGAAAACACAATAATGACTTTACTTCAGGTGAAAACTGTAAACTACCAAGTACATGCCAACCTCACAACAGTAAGTTATTGGAACATACACTATATATAAAAATGTGTGCAGCCACTGTGACACTGAGTCTGAGAATAAACTTTAATCTGACTGTATTTCAAAACCAAACATGACAACAGATGGATCTGACTGTGAGACCAAGGATGCAGGAAGCTCATTGGCTAATTCTCCTTCCTGACTCTAATAATTACCAAAACGTTAT